GTACAAGCATTTCTTCTGGTACAAGCAAAGTGGGAGAGCTGCATAGAGCATTATATATCTTTTCCTTTTTAACTGAGAAGAAATCTTGAAGTCAAATTTCATTTGCAAAAACCAATGTGTCCATTTCCTTTTGGTAGGGTGGTGGAGGAACCAAGAAAGACCAGTTCAATAGAAGGCCTGTACTTCTTAAAAACAAGGCTTCCCAGGAACCTTGGCTTAAGTTCTAGGAACTCACCTATTCTAACAGTGGTCCTTTAACCATAAGAACATATTTGCAAGGTACAGTAAAGGCATTTTTCAAAAGCTGTAGCTAATCAACAAGAAGACAGAGAAGCAACTAGGTTTGTCTCTTAGCTAAAAAGCGAGGCAATGTACCCAAGACGAAGTATTACAGGACAGTTTGCCGCAAGCTTTGGAAATTTTCATATTCCTCCTGGGTGTTAGAATCAACAAGAAGAAAATAAAATAGTTTTGTTTCCTTTTGGGTGGCAGTAATATTCAAGAACCTTACCCTAACATATATCCCATGCCTAATATTTCAAAAGTGTTTATAAGTGAATTTTTAGATGGTTATCATCAAGAATCATTAAATCTGAGCCTATGTAATAGAGACATATGATAAAAGAACAATTTTCTGGAGGGAAAAAAGACAGGATTTTAAAGACAATACCATCTCTAAAACATATACATAAAACTGAGCCTTGCAGCTTGGATTTAATTTTGCTCAAACTGTAGCTCTAGTCTGTCTGCTTAGCTTTGTAAATGTGGCTGTGCTTATGAGGTACTTTAATTTACTGCAGTGGTGATGTTTGTTAATTTTATGGCAATCTAAATCTAAACAGGCTTCAGATACATTTTCATTACAGCTTCATTGTGAAACACAGTAGAGTGAATAACTCTTAAGATTCCAATGTAGTTTATTTCTAAAAGACTCAACACAATTTTCTGTTGAAGCCTTTGTCTTAACATATATGTTCTTCCTATTTACTATTAAGCTTTCTGTCACTCAGAGTACCCATGTTCACTTTTAGGAGGAAAAATATAATTTCTGGAAAGTGATTAAAATAGTTGTTTTTGGCTGGGCACGGTGGCTCACACCTATAATCCCAGCACTTTGGGAGGCCACAGCAGGTGGATCATGAGGTCAGGAGTTCAAGACCAGCCTGGCCAAGATGGTGAAACCCTGTCTCTACCAAAAATACAAAAAAAAAAAAAAAAAAAAAAATTAGACGGGTGTGGTGGTGGGTACCTGTAATCCCAGCTACCTGATCAGGAAGCTGAGGCAGGAGAATCGCTTGAACCTGGGAGGTAGAGGTTGCAGTGAGCTGAGATCGCACCACTGCACTCCAGCCTGGGCGACAGAGTGAGCCTCTGTCTTAAAAAAAAAAAAAAAAAAAAACCAACACGTTGTTTTTCCATCTGCTCGATTCCCATTTCAAACGCAAACCAACATGGGAAAATCAGAGAAAACCAGAATGTACCTGAATTATTTTCCAGTTCTACATGGGTAGCAGCACAATTCAATGAAAAAGGAAGACATATTTTCAGAAACTGATTTCAACGTCTGATTCTGACACTAACTAGATGTGCGACGTTGGACAAATCACTTACCCTCTCTGAGTCTCATTTTCTCCTCTATAAAATGGAAATTACAATACTATCTATTTTAGAAGTCCTATCCCTTCTTAGCTCTGTTTAGCCCTTCTTGTAACACCAAAGCATGTCTCTGAAAGGACCATCCAGATAAAGCCCTTGTACCCTAAAGAATTGAAAGGAAAAGTTGGGCCGGGCGCGGTGGCTCAAGCCTATTGTAATCCCAGCACTTTGGGAGGCCGAGACGGGCGGATCACGAGGTCAGGAGATCGAGACCATCCTGGCTAACCCGGTGAAACCCCGTCTCTACTAAAAAATACAAAAAACTAGCCGGGCGAGGTGGCGGGCGCCTGTAGTCCCAGCTACTCGGGAGGCTGAGGCAGGAGAATGGCGTAAACCCAGGAGGCCGAGCTTGCAGTGAGCTGAGATCCGGCCACTGCACTCCAGCCTGGGCAACAGAGCGAGACTCCGTCTCAAAAAAAAAAAAAAAAGAAAGAAAGGAAAAGTTGACCGTTTTGGGTCAAAATGCACCGATCCTAATAATTTAGGAGAACAACAGTCACAAGAGCTATAAAAACCAGCCCCCAAGACAACTTAAAAGAATTAAATGCTGCTACATCACTTCTAAAACAATTCCAAACCTACAGGAGAAAATTTGTAAATTAAAATTCTGCTGAATCTGCCAACTAGTCATCATACCCCATCTATTCATTTGTCCCTACTGTACAGATTTTATGTATCTCTATTTTTCCATCTGAAGTATTAAAACAAAAAAGGAACTATATATTTAGATTGTTATTAGGCTACTGATTATATCCAGAAATAATTCCTGAATACATTTTTAAACTCAGTGCTTCCCAATTTGATCTTCAATTAAAAAAAAAGAGATAAATGTATGAAGAACATGCATATACATGTATATTTTAAAAGCCAAAACAAAACAAAACAACAACAAAAAACTCTGGTGATTTGATGCTGTTATCAGCTGGGGCTAAAGTTACCTAAAATCTCATGGAAAATTTTGTAGGATATTTCTAAAACAATGAGACTCAGGACCTTGTCATTGACTGACACCAGCTTCACACAACTTCCACCAGGGTTGTATGGAGAAGTAAGGAGGCAGGTGTGAAGACACATGGCAGGAGGTAGTAAGGAACCGCCTTAATTCCTCAGCCAAAAAACTCGGGCCATTTGGCCTCTAATATTATATCTCTTTCCATGCAAGGTGACTGGTGATGTTTATCTAGTAAGTAGGTATGGTTATTTTAGCATAAAGTTATACAATTAGGAATATACTACACATAAGAGTCATTTTCTACTGTTTATGCTCAGGGGCAACCTTTTCAACCATGACTTATTTTGTTTACTCTCAATTATTCATATGTCAAATCAGAAAGTGGGATTTTTTTTTTACATACATACATACACACGATAATTTTTCCAAAATTCTTATTTGTACATTTTCCACTGAAAGTTATTCTTACAAATGAGACTAGACATACAGTTTTAGATCCCAGAAAATCCTATTCCAAAAATAGAAAACATCTTATAATATATTAATTTACATTACAGTTTAACTTAAAGATATACAAATTTTTCTACTCTCCCTCAAAACACACTCACCTCTGGGATAGGATTCAGCATTTGCTTAAAACCATTGTATCCAGAATATTAGAAAAGGCAATGTGAAAAAAATACAACGACATATTCAACTGAAACTATACAGAGAACATAGAGGGAAAAAAATCAGTATTAAAACTGATCAGGGGTTGCCAGGGATCAGTGGGGAGGAAAGAATAAAAGAGAGGGATGAATAGCACAGAGGATCTTTAGGGCAGTGAAAATACTCTGTATGAGCCTATAATGATGGGTACATGCCATCATAAATTTATCCAAATCCATAGAGTGCACAATACCAAGAGTAAACCCTAATGTAAACTATGGATTTTGGGTGATAATGATGTGTCAATGTAGGTTAATCAATTTTAACAAATGAACCCCTCTGGTAGGGGATGCTGATAATGGGAGAGACCATGCATGTGTGAGGAAAGGGGGTATACGTGATATCTCTCTTCTTTCCTCTCAAATTGGTCTTGTGAACTTAAAACTGCTCTTTAAAAAAGTCTTTAAAACACACACAAAACTCACCAGGACTCCCATTTCACACTAAAGTGTGTGGACTTTAAAAAGTACTTGCCTACAGAGTGAAATACTCATGGGTGAAATTATAGGATGTCTAAGACTTGCTTTAAAATACTCTACCAAATTGGGGCTGGGTACACAAAATAAGAGTGGCAAAATGTTGATAACCGTTTATCTGCGTAAAAAGTAGCTGATTCCTTATTTGGGGTTGAACTCTATGAAATTACCATATTCAACTGTTTCTGACCTCAAAACTTAGCAATTTCATAGGGTTCAGTCTAATACTATTCTCATTATTTTTGTGTACATGTGTTATAAAATGTTCCATAATAATACGTTTTTAAAATTATCTTCCAAATGACAAATCTTATCAAATGAGAATTCCTCCAACTTGACAGCTTTTCAGCATTAAACTAGAAACTAAAATATGTGTAAAAAAGACCCACCAATATTTTACTTTATTACATTAAATCTAAGACTCACTTGTTTTTCCCTACATTTTAACATCTCTGAAATGTGAAAGCATTCTATAATCAGTAATATTTTATAGTTAAACTAGCAGTATTAATTTTTTCTTGGTGGTACATAAAATAATGATGCAACTTAAAATCAAAGTTATCTTAGATTCAGTATGGTTAATATAATTGCTGAGAACTGGATTTTTAACCCATATTCTCTTTCTAATCAGGAATTTAGCACATAATGCCTTGCCTAACACTCCCTGTCCTGGGGTATCCATAATTATCTTGGGAGGTCTCATACTCAGAGAAACAGGCCAGAACCTGCTTACTTGGTGAAGTTCCCTATAGTCTGGCACAATCCATAAGAATTAATTCCCAGGAGGATTCTGGAGCTCACAGCATAGGAGGGAAAAGCTCACTGTGCAATGCTTCCCTTCAAAAGTGATTAAAGCTTATGAACAAGGCTAGTGCATAAATGTTAATTATACAGAGCTTTGAAAAGCATCAAGTGGTGAGGTGAGAGGGAAGAATGACTGCAGGTGTGGTAGTAAGGGCACGTGAATGTGAGGAATGAATAAAACTAAAACAAGTAGATGAGATATAATAGGTAGAGCTCCACCTCCAAAATCTCAAAGGGTCTTCATTTCATGAATCCAACAATTCACTTGGATTTTTGCATTGACCTTATTTATTTTGTAATTTGTGTTAACACCTACCCCTCACAGCCCTCAGAATTGGTTAGCATGGTCTAATAGAAGAGCAACAGAGGGTTTGTGTAGGACTATGAGAGTGGCGGCTGCTGACCTGTTCATATTTCTCCAGTTCTGTGTGATAGATTTGTCTGATCTGGGTCAATTTGGCTCTGTAATCTGAGTGTTCAATAGAGTTATCTGAAGAACCTCCAGAGGCTGCCGCGGCTGCAGCTGCTGCCGCCGATCCCCCACCTTTCTCAGGACCTGAAACCCCTTCTGCCAAAAGCATATTGTCCAGTCTCATTAGCTGGGGATCGGGAGGGTCCTCCTCCTGGGCTCCTCTGATGCTGAGACCTTCAAGGAAAGAGAGAGAGAGACAGAGAGAGAAGAAGCGAGAAACAGAGGACAAATAGTGTGAGTATTTTGTTTATTTGAGAAAATGATCAAACAACATCAGTGTACTACAATTCATGCTGAGAACTTCATTGTTCACATTTGATCAATAAGTTTGAATAAGTATGAAAATTATTTTCAAGATAATGTTTACATGCACCCTAGAATTTTAAATATCCCCCAACCACCTCAATTTACCACAGATAGATCCTTAGAAAAAGGTAACCCTGGCTTCCTTGAATATTTTAATCATCCAAGCTTCCCAGATTTAGATAATTTAAGCATAAAATGGGAAGAAGGTAAAAAAATGGAAGGTTTTAAGAAAGAAAGAAAATAATTACAGGGATATAAAACAAACTCATCCAAAGGTGGTCATTCTGTCTCTCTGTACAGTTGGAGAAACAGAATTAAAATTCCCTTAAAATAATTCACAAACTGTAATCAAAAATTGAAAAATAAACAAGATTAGATGAGCTTTTCCATCATGTGATTTCAGAAGAGGAATACATACATTATGAGGCAATTAGCTATACTTAAATATATATATTATTAAATGAATATTGTTAAGTGATTGCTAGCAAACTATAAAATGATGATACTAAATACAGTATTAAAAATGTGCCATTGACATGGCAATACAGTTCTGGGCACAGTAGTCTCAATCTAATTTTGCTTTTAAATCAAGAACTTCCTAAGTGATGCCCAGTCAGCAACCTCTTCTGAGTACTATAGATCACAGCTGACAATTCATAAGTTTAATCAGGTCACACAGGCTTTCTGCCAAGATGTTTTCAACAACACAGAAGACAAAGTTTTAAAATAATTATCATGGTATAAAAAGCACTGGAGTCAAGACAGCTGAAAATCAGCATTTTCATTAACGTGTAACATAATCTAAAACATCCCAGCCCAATTAACCTCTGTAACTCTGCTTAAAAACAGGTTCCCTACACTAGTTACAAGTCTTCTTGGGGAAGGGGGAAAAGGAAGTTGGCACCTTGCTTGTTTGTATTTGGATTCTGTCTTTTGAGTCTGTGCCTGTTGTTGTTTATCCACAGTGGTACACACTTTGTGTCTAGTGTAACTCACATGACATAACATCTATAAGCTGCCAAGTACTCAACTGATCACCAACTCTGATTTTATATGCTAACCTAAAGCTACCATCAATTCTTTTAAGAACAGATTTCATTCCTAGATGCCCTGAATTACATCCATGGCATGACAGAGCTCTTGGTTGCCTTAACTCAGATACACAACTTTAATTTCTTCCCCAAAACACTTTAAAGCTGTCACTTTCATTTAAAATTATACTTCAGAATAATTTCAACTGGATAATAAAACTAACTCATCATCATTTAAAATTATATCTCTTGTCTATTCAGAGGCAAATAAGGTTTGAAAACTATAATATACTAAGACAATATATTCATTTAGGAGAGCAAAAAGATAACTCATAAAATGCATATCAACACACTGCTGATAATTAAAAATAGGCAAACATGTATTTGCTGTTTCTTCTATAACTAAAAAGGATTACCTAATATTGTTCTAGAACTGCCATGTATTGGTTAAGTTTGTATTGTTAATGTAAATCTTCAATTTTCCTCTCTTTTAATTCACTTTGTTAAATGTCAAAATCTCATGACCTGTACATGCTTGTAGTTCACATAGCAAGTTTTTTGTGCATTTGGCATGCAATGAGGGCTTACTGAACAATCTCTTATGCTGCACTTTGATTTCTGTTTAATTTTTTGTTCTTGTTTGAGGATTTCTTAATTTTCTCCATTTTAAACTGAATTTTTGCCCACAGTTTTGTGTGTTTGTTGATTTTTGTATTTACACAGACACTGATGCCTCTCCTGAAATGTGTTTTTTTAATCTACCTTCAAGTTTCCTCTGGGTTTCTAGATTTCCCCTTGTAGTTAAACACATTGATCTTTTCCCTATGGACATGTGGTGAAGTACTTTAATAGCAGATTAACTTCCATAGCCAAAAAGATTACACTTCCCTGCAAACGTATGGCAAACAAGAGAAACAGCTCAATGACTAATATCCAAGGAATTACACCATAAGAGAGACAGAAGGAAATTCACTAGGAAGAAATGCAAAAGGCACAAAACTAATTAGCCATCTATGATACTTTTATACATACTTAATATGTATATAAACCATCATTATCATACCAATGAGAAGCAATCCATAAGCTCAATAGCCATGGATACAAATAAAAACAATTATAAGTATACAGTGTCAACTACTGTAACGTTTTACTTATAATGAAAAATATCTTATTTCTAAAATTATCAGTAAATCAACACTAAGTGCTTGCCTCAAGAACAGGAAAATATGTTTTAATGCAATACTTTGTATTTACTTTATAAATTATGTGAATCAAATTTTATCAGAAAAATCATTTCCTGACAGAAAACTCGTATTTCTTTAGATGAAAAGTACTAAAGCACTTTGCAAATAGGCAACATGAAAAAGACTATCAATAATAAAGGAATTTTCATAACTAGTCTGAAAAGTCAATCGGTTTCTTTTCTTTATTAAGCAAAGTAATGATTACGGGATCTTTAAATAGTAATACCTGGTTTCCAAAATTATTTTCAATTTGAATATTTCTATTTATTTTCTTACTGAAAAACATTTAAATTACCATTTTATTCCTCATCCTACCTACCTAGCTGCTCACTATTACTTAGTTTACTAACTTTCTAGAGTCACACTGGCTTTTAGTCATAATACCTACTCCTCTGGGCACCTATAAACATTTTAATGGGTCTAAATTTGCAAGGGTCAGAATGAATCAGACTGTGTGGTTATCAAAAGATCTTGATATCTTCAAATTGAACCATGGTAAAACAATCATTTAAAATTTGATTGTACTTGTTTTTAATCCAAAATGTATATATGATGAAACATACAGAGGTTTATAAAGGTTTACATCTAGGTTCTTTGGTCATCACAACCTTATAAAGTTTAAAAAAAAAACAAACCCTGTTTGCAGCCTACTTATAATCACAACATTCATTTCTGTATCCCTAAGATTTAGACAAATCATACAAACACAGTAAAACATTGTTTAACAATGAACTTGGCTTTGTTATAAGCCTACCATTTTTGCATATCTTTCAGCAAATCCTAATTAGCTGTCTTTCAACATGCTGTGCACCTGCCCCACAGATAATGGGAGAGAGCATCTGCATAGACGACTGCATTTGGAGGGCAATAAATAAATTACGGGTCAAAATTATTACAAAGCTTTCTCCAAATAAACGCATACCCTTCACAATTCTAAGCTGCAGATGTGAAAAGTACCTAAAGCCCACTCAAATGGTATGATTACGGGGCTGTTTGAGTTTAATAATCTGACTGTAATTCAGGCATTTTCAACAGCTCATTAAGGGTTCATTAATATATAGGCAAGCTTTTGAATTATAAATAAGCAGATTAGAAATCTGCATTGGCTAGATTGTACAGTACGAGCCTTTCTAACAGAAGAACACTGTAACACAATGAAGGCTTGACCTTAGTGAATGAGGTGCAAACAACACAGTGCACTAACTAAGCTTCATGGCTCCCTCATTTCAAGGAGCAAGCCCACTGGACCATAACTAACCTCTGTTCATTCAGCACTGAAGAGTATGGCTCCAGACCATAGCTATTTCAGATATGTTCTACACATGGTCCTGAATTAGATGCAACTAAGATCTAGCCCTACAATATTTCCATAATCAGGGAAGATAGATAATATCTACAATCATGATAAAAGTTGTCATCACATCACTTTTACTTTGTAAAGAGTACATTTTTCAGACCTGCCGAGAAACAAAAAGCTATTATGGAAACTTGAGTTGTTTGATTTTTCTCTCCTAATGAGCATACCATAAATTGAGTCCCCCAAATTATTCATAAGCTTAGGCCTATGACATCACTATAATTTTGTTTTCTAATGGACTTGTTTTTTTATTCATTCAACTACCACATCACAGTCTTAGCTCAGGGAAAAATGTTTTAGCAGAGTACCATGTAAAATAAGGCCAGATCAGATATTTTCAGCAGGCCCTGAATTCTTGACTGCCCTGAAATAAGTGACAATTTAAATATTAATATTTTTAGTTATTCTTATAATTTTTCATACCTTTTCTTTTGTGCCTGTTATTTTAAAGTAACATGCAGGATAGTGGTCAGAAGTCACAAAGCTAATTAGTAAAAATACCTACTTTATTTTCTGTGCTTTCTTCATTTAAAAATCAAGTCAGCCACAGTTTGAGAAATGTAACCCAAACTGTAGATAAAGAAGAAAGATTAAGACAGACATGTTGCTACTTTTCTCCCCAAACATAAAAAAGGTAAAATAATTTTCTATCTGAAATCCTTAAGTAAAAATCAGTCAAAATAGGAGGCAGGAGATCTGGAAATGAAATGAAGGTCACAAGCCCCATGGTCATGAGATCTCATTTGAAACAATTACTTTTTGGTTGTGAAAACTGGGATATAATTTGGAAACAGTGGTGAAAGACACTGAAAAACCCTCAAGGCATCACTGTCTAAACTAGACTTAAGTATTGGGGGTTGGGAGGGTAAGGTTCTCAGTTAAACAGCAGGTGGACTAGAGAGAGAGGGCTAAGAAGCCAAGTCCAGGAAAGGCAGACCCTTAAGTAAGAACTGACTGAAAAAGAAAAAAAGGCCAACAGAATGATATCAACACACCCTGAGAAAGATCCGGAATAATATTTGCACCTGAATTTCACACTCTCCTCCTTAGGTCTAAAGATGAAGCTTGTAATGAAAGAAACAGTCATATTATTTTGTAGACATCAACAGAAAACAACTGTAAAATAACTAATTTTTAAAAGATTATGAGGAAACGGCAGGTGATCTAGTTGCCCATCACAACCCATGGCCCCAAAGCCCATCCCACTCCAGCTCCAAATCTCCTTTTAAGCCAATG